AGGTTGCTGGAAAATTTTTGGAATTTTTTGGTCAGAACTCCGTTTCCCATGACCGATTTTTGGCTTTTTTGAATGGATCCCATAGACGGCGCCAATGGTAGTGAAATAGATTTCACCCGAGCTCCTTCAACTCGGACGACCTTCGTACCTGCAAGCACTCAACGCCGGTAGGGGTCCCGACGTCGAGCCTCCGATGCGGAAGTCAGCATTTGCCAGAAATAAAGTGCAATATGAGAGTATAGTAATGAATGTGGAGAGAATGAGTTTTTGTGATACCTTAGCCCCCTTTTATAGGGGAGGTATACCTTAGTGCCCAAGTTGGGCTTGACTAATACCATTATGCCATGTGTCATAGCCCATGTGTAGGCTTATTCTCCAATATATTCCTTCTTATCCATTAAAACTGGTCTAGTATGATATTTCATATCATACATAGTTAGATGTTATAAATCAAGCATAAACTGAATTTTGGTTGAGAAAAAATAATTTTAATCTAGTATGTATAATTTTTTACATCATAAGAGCGCTTATAATATGTTTTACATATCAATGTTGTACAGATTGTAGGTATAAAATTAAGTAAAAAGTGTAAACAAAATCTAAACGTCACAATTTTGGTTAGATAATGTAATGTAAATAAAAACACAACATATACTAAAAATATTCTTTGGCCAGTGAAATTTATTGGCCATCTCTCTTCTCTCTTCATCGCCTCCATCTTCTTCGGCGACATCCACCCTGCCGCCGCCGCCAAATTTCTACTCAAACATCACTGCCATCCCTTCATCCATTCCCCCCCTCCGTCAAACTTGTCGGCTTCAAGTAGGCCGAGATATCAGCTGACCTGGGCCGCCTCAAGCCCTAGAAATCTCCCAAGCTGGAGCCTTCACCTCCAGCGTTGTCTCTCTCTCCTGTCTAGCCGAGGCCAAAGCCGATCGAACTGTGAACCCAATTTGATATCACAGTCAAGACAACACTTACAGCTTGAAGATATGGAGAAATAAACACTCACATAAGAGAAGAAATTCGGTGAAACCACTGGCAATCGAAGCGTACGCAAAGCGCCAGAGACATAAATCGAGGCAGACGTCCCATTTTGCATTCAAATCGTGCTTCGCCGGAATCTCAGCTTTGCTCTTGTCAGCCATTTTTCTCTCACAAATGCAAGAAAAAAAATGGAAGATCTGGTGAAATTCAAATATTCAAAGCATGTTTTTTTTAGTGGCATGAATCCCATCATTTAAGGGATTCATAAGGTAACTCCGTTGTTTAATGATGTGTTTGTAATATCTAGTATTAATCTAAATATTTATGTTAGTTTAGGTAAATGTGCGAATAAGTTTTTTATTTAATATTTTTGCAATTATTTATGAATCAGTTAAGTATGTATGTAAATTGACCTTTTTCAATTGGGAATTTTTGTGTCTCCTACACGAAATTGAAAAAATTACAATAATACCAATCATAAACAAATAATTGTAACTCTACCTACTTCTCTATTCTTTACTGCATTAAAGCCTAAAAGTCAGTTACCTAAAACGGTGGACCTCCATCCCCTTTTCTCCGCATGATTTCAAGTTTTACAATAACAAGGATACCTTATTCATAATTGACTTGTTTTCTATCCTAAGAGAGCTTTCATCAGTAACCGCTGGCAAACTAATGCATCAGAATAAAATGGATGCGTAGAAAAAAAAAAATCTTTTCATGAATATGGAATGAAAATCAGAGATTAAAGGGTTTTGCGCAGAAAATGAAAATATATGAAATTAGAATTTGAACTATACACTTCATCAAATTACAGAATGATAAAAACATATATGGTAATTCACACAGCTGTCCAAGTAGGTATATATTGCGTTTATGTTAGTATGTTGCAATGAAAAATATTACATTTAAGTATATATTGCGTTTATGTTAGTATATCTTCAGTGTATGATAAACATGAGGTATATTTTGTGATTTTAACGTTCATTCAACTGTACATGATTCTGATTTTACCGAAAATATACCGGAAAAAAAGGAGGACGTGAAATTTTATAAAGAAAAAACGAGACGGATCGATCACAAATATTTGTAGTTTATTTCTAGTTTATTAACAGTATATTTCTAGTTTAAAAAAATATCTTTCACGTTTTATTAACAGTATATCTTTCACATTTTTATTAACAGTACATTTCTAGTTTATTAATAGTATATTTCTAGTTTAATTTTTTTTCGTCCCCTCCTTCAGAATTTAACTTTCGAATTCAATTCTTATTCACCGTTCAACATTTTTAAATTAGTTTGGCAAAAGACATATGAAGATTTTGGCCTTTCATCATTTTTAAATAAGCTTGGCAAAGACATATGAAGATTTTAGTAATCCAATTAAAACACGTAAAATAACAAAATAAGAGAAGCAAAAAAAGAGGAATCTTCGTTCATTTCATATCTAGAATTTTTCTGTAAAAATCACGAGAATTTAATAACAAAAAAATTAAAAATATTAGCTCAGATCGTTTCCTACGACGTCGTCCTTTCAGAGAAAGGATACAGATTTGCCGGAGATCGAACAACAGAGAGAGAGATAGAGAGATCGTGTGCTTCGACAGCTTGTCGCCGACGCCGCTTCCTGACCTTCGTCTTCGGCACTCTGTGTGTGTGCGTGTGAGAGAGAGAAAGAGAGAGAGAGAGAGATTTTACCTCTTTTCGATGGGATAATGAAATTGGTGGAGTTGGAATGATAAACATCCAATAGGGCAATATCTTTGGGAAATTATTGCGCATTCAATAGAATCAATATTCTCCATGATTAACAAAATTAAAAATATGGTATATGAGCAAATAAGTATGCAGAATTTAGTAGAGTTGCAAATAAATATCTACTGGGTGTATAAATATAATATAAAGTGTATTGAATAGTATGTGGTGAAAATTCCTCGTTTCAATTCTATAAGGCTCCGCTTGTTTTGAGGTTATTGAGGGATTTGAAATCCATAGATTTCAAATTTACAAGTTCAAATGCTTATGCTGTTGGATTTTAGACGTACGGATCAATCGCACGCGCAACGGAATTTTAAAATTTTTCTTACCAACAACGAAGATCCGGCTATAGCTATTCGATATGATCCTAGATCGCGTGAATGATACACGAAAAACTTACAGTTATTCGTCTTTTGTCCTCGACTATGGTATCCACGCAATCCAATTTTTCGATGCACGATCTAACGCCAGTGAATCCCTTCCGGTGAAGAAGCTAGGAATCTCGATCCGGAAAGCTAGAGAGTGTTTTGATCTTGATCTCTCAATCTCTAAGATTTTTGGATCTCTCAAAGTGTTTTTCTCTTTTCATCGTTCCATCGATTGATTATTATGAATGAGATAATGAGATATTTATAATAGGTCAAACCTATTCATATGGGCCTTAGGAAACCCTAAAGCCCAATAGGTAATTGGACCTAATCTAATTAATAATTTAATTAAGTATACATCCAATTTAACTTAATTAATTATTTTTCATCAAATAGAAAATTATCTCATTACTAATTAAGTATAAATCCAATTTAACTTAATTAAATATTTTCTATCAAATAGAAAATAATCTCATTACTCATAAATAAATATTCCAATCTAATTGAATATTGAACACTCTCGATTCACTCTTAGTCGAAAAACTGATTGCATATTGTGTGACCCTATAGGCCTTCATATATTGACATAAATCTAATTTATGATCCTTACGAAACTCCTAGACTGCGTCGAAGGACGAACTCAAAATATGAAGTACGTTTACATGGACAAGCAAACAAGCCTTTAGTGTAGAACTCAATGATGATACGATCCCTTCATTCACAACCCACTCGATTAAGCTTAGGACTTGAACGTGTGTCTATCCAAACAGCTTAATCATTTTATCTCATCTCACTGGTTGATTTTATCAATTATATTTGACCACCATTTCAAATAAAATCACGTGCATTGGCCAATGACTTTATCAACCCAGTATAGAGAAAACGAGTGTTCTCTCGAAACTATATTCGAGGAATGAATCCTATCTTGGCTCAATTACCAATTCCATTTATATTGTGATCTACCCAACATAAGCCCGTGTCTACTCATAAGGGCGTAAGCGTTGGACTAGGTCTAAGTAAATCACTCTATACACGAATTGCGTGTTGACCTCAAGTCAAAGGACTATTACACCATTCCACACACCGATACTCCCATAGACACATAAACAAATGGTTTATCGGTAGGGTATGCCAATACTCTCCAAAGTATCCATGTGTCCATCATGAATAACAATTATTCATAGCAGTGAGACATACAATATTATCTAAGAATATGATGCAGACAACATGTCAATCTATCGCGTATCATTAATATCCTTTTCTTAATGATCATCGATTGAGGCGATTTAAGAGTTACATCTCACTCTGTTAATGACAGTATCAACTCAAGAGAGCAATAAATTAATAATTGCAAACAATCAAACAATTATTTAATGAATTGCAATACCATAATTATAATCTAATATAATTATTAATGTGATCATGTATATATGTCCTAAAAAAGATTGTCTCTAAGACACATATACCAACACATGCATGTTGGAATGATAATGGAAGTCGTAGGATTTCAAATTCATGCTAGATACTTTTTAGTCATTATTTTGAAGGATTTGAAATGACTCCTCAAACTTAGTCATTTGAAATCCACTGTTTAACGACCACCCCGTCCACGATCATTTAGGTTCACCACCACCGCGAATCAACACTGTTGGTGCGAGCTAGACAATTTATATATAATATTTTCAACACATCCAATGAGTATGCAAATAAAAAATTTATATTTCAAAAAAATTTGAAATCAAGGATTTCAAATCCCTCAAAACAAATGGAGCTTAAGGTCATTTTCATTGTTTAGTGAGGCCCATTATATTTATAAATCCTAGCCTGACCCATGCTTTTAGTGGGACAGAACTGGGCCGGCCCGCAGTCCAGGCCTAGTTTAACACGATTGACAGCTAACGGAGAAACATGCTCCTAAATAATGGCAAAGTAAAAATACCGGAAAATTTGAGAACAGCGTAGGATCTCTTTCTTCCCCGTCCCAAACCCTCACGCTCTATTGAAATTCGCCTGAAACCCTTGAAATTTAGCTCAAGTGAATTTCAGCCTATGAAAAGCCTGAAATTTACACTCCTTCTAGGTTAATTCCTCTGATTCTACGCACTCTAATTCCTCAGAACGCTTGGCCTTGAGCTCAAAAATGTCGCTGCCGCCTCTTGAGTGTGTGTACTTTACGGAGGAGTCCGTTAAAGAACTGAAAAACTCAAATCCTAATTTTAAGTTTCCTAAGCCTGCACCCATTCTACGATTTCTCTATGAGCTCTGCTTCGCAGTGGTAATATGCGTGAAATTCTTATTTAAGTTGGTGCATCATTTAATTTTTTTACGCATTCTACCTGGCGTTATTGCTTAGATTTCATTGTAATTAGATTATTTTTCACTATCAATTTTCTTTTCTCTCTCTTTTCATTTTCTTTCTCCTGGTTGTATGCGCGCATGTAGGTGTGTCTTGCTGCCTCTTTCTAGTTTCGTGCTGTGGTCTACTGCCATTGTTAGATTTTATTTGTTTATAGTATTGGAAGTTTAGTGTTTTTATCAATGTTAGTAATGATTTTTTCATTAGTGTTTTTGTGTCTATTACTTTAAAGTTTATAAATTGTGGTTATTGTGGATAAATTTTGCGTTGGTAGGTTGGAGGGGAATTGCCGTACCAGAAATGCAAAGCAGCTTTGGAGGCTGTAGAGTTTTTGGATTGTGGTCCGGAGGAGGATGTAGGATCATATTTTGCTGATATTGTTACACAAATGGCTCAAGACGTAATATTCTTTATGCGTATTTCTAATTGTATATCCTGACATGTGTATACATCATTTAGTGAATTTCAAATTAGCATTATTCTTTCACTTGTCTAATATATATACATTTGTACGTTCTAAATCATGTTACACACATATTTCCTTAGTCATAGTTTACTTATGCAAGCTCTATTTGATACAGTTTTTTTAATGGCTTCTTTGGGATTTTGTTAGTATCTCCAGGAAACATGTGCTTCTGAGATATTTGTTAGTAATATATTTCACTTGTTATTTTGAGGTAACAAGTATAAAAGAGCATAAATAACAAATTTCAGATTTTGAAATGTCATAACAATTACCAGACATTAATTAATCTAATCTAAAGGATATGACAATCATTGATAATTTCGGGTTAATCACCAACTGTCACGTGCTCCTTGGTCTCTCTAAGCTTTATTTGTAGTTCAAAATAAAAAATCAACCCTTTTGAGCTTATGCTTTTGGCACTTTTGGTGTCAAATGTGTTTTATAGGTGTTGATTTAACTTGACTTTCATAGAATGTTTGAATTACTGAAATTACGAAAAAAATTATTGTTTTAAAGTCTTAAAGAGCATGTAATGGATGGTAGTTGTTATTTTAGCTTTCACATATAGTTCCAATAGGAAAAGCTGTAGCTTTCTTGAAACTTGACCGATGTAGATTGATATTTGCTCAAGCTACATCTCATGGGTTTAGTGAGAAGGATTCAATATATGGAAAAGAGAAAAAAATTATTCAGCATTGTTGGGAAACATGTTTGAGTACAAAGGACAGGAAGATCAATTTGGAACAGGCTTGTTTAGTTGAAGTGGTATTACTGAAATAAGGAATTGGAGTCATCAAGATGTAATTTCTGCCTAAAAAATTTTATCCAAACAACAATTTTATTGAGAATGGAATATGGATGCTAGGGATTTATGATTGAGAACCTGTAAAATTGAATGAATGTTGTCGGGGACAAGTACTCATTTCTTAACTCAATGCTCTATTGTTCTTCCTGAAAAGCTTATTGATTTTATCAATTTGTGAGTACGGAGTTTTATTGACCGATAAATGAGTTGCTTCCACTTGCATTGGAAATTGCATTGCATGATTTTGTACAAGCCCATGGTGAATATACTATGTTAAACTAATTCCATGTTTGCATCCCCTACAGCTTAGCATGATTGGTGAATATCGTTCTCGCCTTATCAAACTGGTTAGTATTTGACTTCCACTAAATTTCATCCTTTAAATTATGTTTCTTATGTGTCATACGTGTATTCAACTTGCGAAAAACTTCCCTGCCCCAGAGTTT